GAAGAGAAGGGGACGACAGAGGATGAGATGGTTGGATAGCATCACCGACTTGATGGACATGAGCTTGAGCAAACTCCAGGAGCTGGGGATGGACAGGGAGGCCTGGTGTGCTGCAGTCCATGGGGTCACAAAGAGTCAGACACAACTGAATGACTGAACTGAACCGAAGGGGATATAAGGAAAAGCACCTGTCCTCAACAAATATCCTTGGATAGGTCCTGGAAAAAGAATTCAAAACAGAGCAGACAATTAAGAGGCCAAACTCTTGAGGTCAGTTTTACTCACAGTGATTTTTTTTTTTAATCACATGAAAAGGTTTCAACATCATGAAATCTTAAAGAAATGCAAATCAAAATTACTGTGCTGTATCAGCTCACACAGGTCAGAATAGTCTTTGTCAAAAAGTCTACAAATAGTAAATCCTGAAGAGGTTATGAAGAATAGGAAATCTTCCTCCTACAGTGATGCTGGGAATGTAAATTGTTAACTGCCAGGATGGCGGATAGGGTGGAGGTTCTTTAAATGGTGAAAAGAAACTGAAATTACATCACTCCCTCACCTCACACATAAAAAGAAACTACAAATGGATTAAAGAGCTAAGGGGAGGGACAATTCCTCTAAACTTCTTGAGGAAAATACAGGTGCAACAAGCTTTGACATAAGTTGCAAGAAATTCTTTTTGGATCAATTGTTACAATAAGGAAAAATAAAAGAAAACTCAAAAGGGGCCTCATTCACCTCGAAAGCTTTTGCACAGAATGGAAAACATTAAGCTGAGGAAAAAGAGAACCCTCACAACGAAGAAAAAATATTTGCCACCAAATTTAAAAACAAGGACTCCATCTCCAAAACATGCAAACAGTTCATGCAATTCAATATCAAAAGCCAATCAACCCAACAGAAAACAGGCTAGAGATCTAAATGGACATTATTTGTTCAAAGAAGGCATCCACATGGCCAAAAGGCACATGAGAAGATGCTCAGCATCACTCTTAGAGAAACACCGATTGAGACTGCAACAGGGCATCAGCTTACTCACTCAGAATGACCATCCTCCCAAAGATCTACAAAGATTAAACTGTTGCCTAGGGCAAGGGGAACAAGGGACCCTCCTACACTGTGGGTGCGGATGCAAGTGGGTGGGTACAGCCACAAAGGGAAACACTACGGGGATTGACTCAAACTCTATAATATAGAGTTACCACCTGATTCAGTCAGCCCACTCTTGCCTTAGATCCCAAGAAAATCATAATTTAAAATGATACTTGCACCCCTATTTTCAGGGCAGCACTACTGAAAACATCCAATCAGAGTATCAACCTATTTTAGCTGAAAATGACACCTAAAAGTTGAAGAATCAAAAATCTCTATCTCCAGACCAAGCACTCCACGTGGTTTGGTTTTTCAAATTTAACTGGTTCCCTAGGCCTCCCTGCTGACTCAGACAGTAAAGAATCTGCCTGCAATACAGGAGACCTGGGTTTGATCCCTTGATTGGGAAGATCCCCTGGAGAAGGAAATGACAGCCCACTCCAGTATTCTTGCCTGGAGAATCCCATGGACAGAGGAGCCTGGCAGGCTACATACAGTCCATGAGGTCTCAAATATTCGGACATGACTGATAGACTAACACTTTCACTTTCTTAGACTCTCAGATTTTTTTCATTAAGGAGTCCCCCAAGCCTAATTCACTCCACCTAAAACTCAAATCAGCTTTGATTCTTCTGTCATCTTCATTTCAATAGGTAAACGTTGCTTTTATCAGGTTAATGTGGAAATTATCTATAACTCCCCTTAGCCCTACCACCAAACACAACCAATTACTTTCCAAGGCTTATAGATTACAATCCCATACATGTCTCAAATCAATCATCTTTTCCTGTTTAATCTATCCCTTCATTTCTATTCTGAATATTAGAAAAAAATTAATATGGCACAGGTCCTGTCTTTGAAGGTCTGATTTTCATAGCAGGAGAAATAATTATTTCATTCTTTCCCCATACACCTTCCATAGGTGCCATATCTACTTTTACTCAGTTGATTATTAATTCAATATTGGGATTCTCTGATGGCCCACCGGTAAAGAATCTGCCTGCCGACACAGGAGACTCGGATTAGATCCCTGGGTCAGGAAGATCCCCTGGAATAGAGTATGGCAACCCGCTCCAGTATTCTTGCCTGGGAAATTCCATAGATAGAAGAGACTGGCGGGCTACAAGTCCATGGGGTCACAAAGAGTCTGACACGATTTGGCGACTAAAACAACAATTAATTCAATAACCAGACAAAGAGGGCATTGCTACTGTAATTTAGGGAGTGGAAGGCAGGAGTGATAATCAACACCTTATAGTACATACCCGATGACAAACATCTATCTAATCTCAAATGTCAGCAGTGCTGACACCGAGAAACACTGACTTAGGTCTCACAGTTAACAACTGAACACGTGTTCATAACAAGTTTCTGGACCTGTCCTCCAATCCTCTTCCCAGATCAGGAATACGCAGTACCAAAGGTATTTTTTTTTTTTTTAACCAGTGAGAATGCTATGGTCTGAATGAACCAAAATGTCTAGAAGTTAAGCAAGGGGCTTTGCAGAAAGACTGGCTCTGTTGGCTAGGACTCTAAAGCCCTAAGAACAGTGCCTGATGTAGATTTCTCAGCAGGGAAGCCAGATCAAAGCAGTCAATCCTGAACGAAATCAACCCTGAATATTCATTGGAAGCACTGATGATGAAGCTGAAGCTCCAATACTTTGGCCACCTGATGCTAAGAGCTGATTCACTGAAGAAGACTCTGATGCTGAGAAAGACTGATGGCAGGAGAAGCGGGCAACAGAGGATGAGATGGTTGGATGGCATCACCAACTCAATGGACATGGATTTGAGCAAACTCAGGGAGATAGTGAAGGTCAGGGAAGCCCGGCGTGCTGCAGTCCATGGGATCTCAAAGATTCAGATGTGACTCAGCAACTGAACGACAGGGTCGGGGTTTGGCTTTCTCAGTCCGAGTCAGGGTAGAACCTCAGCCCTCACCCTGGACGTAGCCTTGGAACTCTCACTGGCACTGATGCCCAGTTCAAACCTGCAGTCAGTCCTCACGCAATATAAACGTCCCTAGAAAGACTTTCATTGGAGGGATGGCAGGCTAATCTCAGACAGATCTACGGTTTGAAATCTTTCCCCAGGGCACAAGGTAGGACTTCTGGGGGTTGTGAAAAGATTCTTTTTTCTACTGCTGTCATTCTTGAAAAATATTCACATTAACTTACTAAGCTATCTATTTGTGGGGAACCCAGAAGTAATATATTCTTTTCCAGGTATCCATGGCTTTGAAGCGCCAATACTTCGGCCACCTTATGCTAAGAGCTGATTCACTGGAAAAGACCCTGATGCTGGGAAAGATTGAAGGCAGAGGATGAGATGGTTGGAAGGCATCACTGACTAAATGGATATGAGTTTGAGCAGGCTCCAGGAGATGGTGATGGACAGGGAAGCCTGGTATGCTGGAGTTCATGGGGTCTCAAAGAGTCAGACACGACTGAGTGACTGAACTGAACTGAATTTGATATGTTAAGATATTAAAATTAATTTTACCTGTTTCCTTTTTTTTCTTCCAAATGTGGCTACTCAAAGAAGTTAAATTATCTTTCTGGCTTGCTTAATATTTCCATCAGACAGGGTGCTCAGGGCTGGTGCACTGGGATGACCCTGAGGGATGGGATGGGCAGGGAGGTGGGAGGGAGGGTCAGGATGGGGAACACATGTACACCCATGGCTGATTCATGTGAATTTATGGCAAAAACCACCACAATATTGTAAAGTAATTAGCCTCCAATTTAAATAAATAAATATTTAAAAATTTTCCATCAGGCAGACTCTAAGGATGTTTTTTAAGTTTTTAAATTTTTATTTTATATTGGAGTATAAAGTTGATTTATAATGCTCTGTTTCAGGTATATAGCAAAATGATTCAGTTATACATATAAATATAACTGTTCTTTTCCCATATAGGTTATTACAGAATATTGAGTAGAGATCCTTGTGCTATAGAGTAGGTTCTTATTGATTATCTACTTTATATATAGGCAGGCTGTAAGGGTTTTTTTTTATTTCTTTATTATTTATTTACTTATTTTTCTATTTTTGGCCACAAAATAGAAAAGCAGGACCTCAGTTCCCAACCAGGGATCAAGTTCACGCCTGCTACAGTGGAAGTGTGGAGTCCCAGCAACTGAACCTCCGGGGAAGCCCCATTCTCTAAGGTTTGACCAGGGAGTTCTATGCCTGAGAATGGGCAGAGGGACAAGATGATTAGAGACATACAGGTCAAAGAAATGGGAAGCCAAGTTATAGAAAAGATCATCCGTGTATAGCTAGTGGGAAGCTGCTGTGTAATAGAAGTCCAGCCTGGTGCCCTGTGATGGCCCAGAAGGGACGGGTGCGAGAGAGACTCCGGAGGGCAGGGACACATGCATGCTTACAGCTGATTCAAGATGCCTTATGGTAGAAACCAATGCAACATTGTAAAGTTATTATCCTCCAGTTAAAAAGAAAAAAGAAAAATCATCCATGTAGAAACCAAACCACCCAAAATGACAGGAATAAACATTGGTGGGAGAGAAACAAGCCATGTGCTTAAAATATTTAAGGAATGAGAGGCATCCAGGAGAAATATCAGGAGGTATTATCTAAAGCGGGGGCTTCCCTGGTGGCTCAGATGGTAAAGAATCCGCCTGCCAGTGCAGGAGACCTGGATTTGATCTCTGGGTTGGGAAGATCCCCTGGAGAAGGGAATGGCAACCCACTCCAGTATTCTTGCCTGGAGAATCCCATGGACAGAGGCGCCTGGCGGGTACAGTCCATGGGGTTGCAAAGAGCTGGATACAGCTGAGCGACTAAACAACAAACAAGAATGATCTAAAGGGTACCTGTGCCTGCCAACATCCAGCCATCCCCCTCCTGCGTACAGTGAGCATCCAACAACAGGGAATAACTCACCTCAGATGCTGCATATGCTGCAAAGTGGATTCTCCAAGGCCTCACCCAAAAGTGAGACCATCTCTAGGGAATGGGGCACACAGTCCAGGCTCAGGGACATCCGATTCTGGTTATGAACAATAGACTTGAACACGTCTTCAAACCGGGTATGCACCGAGACACAGGTCGACCTGCAGAAAGATAAAACTGTGGGAGGGTTACAGCCTCGGTCCCACACAGAGTATGTGCCTCTTCTCCATGTCATTCTTCCTGCCTTCCCTCTTCAGGCCAAAACAGATTCTCAGTGTTGATCACATGCTGCTCTCCATCTCAGACTCCCAGCCAGGTCGGGGGATGTCTGTTAATTTCAAAGTCAGGTTGTCCAAGGACCTATGGTAGAACACAGGGAACTCTGTTCAATATTATGCATCACCCTAACTGGGAAAAAGAATTTGAAAAGGAATAGATACGTATCTCTTGGACAGCAAGGAGATCAAATCAGTTAATCCTAAAGGAAATCAACCCTGAATATTTATTGGAAGGACGGATGCTGAAGCCTGAAGCTGCAATACTTTGGTCACCTGATGGAAAGAGCTGACTCATTGGAAAAGACCCTGATGCTGGGAAAGATTAAGGGCAGGAGGAGGAGGGGACGACAGAGGATGAGATGGTTGGATAGCATCACTGATTCAATGGACATGAACTTGGGCAAACTTTGGGAGATGGTGAGGGACAGGAAAGCCTGGTGTGCTGTAGTCCATGGGGTTGCAAAGAGCCGGACATGACTGAGTGACTGAACAACCACAGAGGAAAAGAACTTCTCTGCTGATCATCTCAACTTCAGATAACCATCGGTAACATAAGCTATGCGTGAAGAATATTCTATTCAATCTATACCAGGTTCTGGCAGGAAGCCTTTCAAATACGGGGAGACGGGGACTTCCCTGGTGGCCCGGTGGCTAAGACTCTGCACTCCAGTGCACAGGGCCCAGGTTCAATCCCCAGTCAAGGAACTAGAAACCACATGCCATAAGTAAGAGCTCGCATGCCACAACTAAGACTTGGTGCAAATAGATGCGTGCGTGCTCAGTCACTTACTCACGTCCGACTCTTTGTGACCCACCCATGGACGAGAGCCCACAAGGCTCCTCTGTCCATAGGATTTCCCAGGCAAGAATTCTGGAGTGGATTGCCATTTCCTTCTCCAGGGGATGTTCCCGACCCAGAGGTGCAACCCACATCTTCCTGCCTTGGCAGGATTCTTTACCTCTGAGTCACCTGGAAAACCCAGAAATGGAAGGGGCTAACTATTATTCCCGGGGGAACATCTGAGGTGGGGTAGACGCCTTCCCAGATGTCCCCATGTGTCCACTGTAACAGCATCACTTTACAATCATCATCTTGCCAGTGGCCTTCTTTCCCACCAGGAACACATTCCGGTCCTTTACGTTAATATCGTTCCTAGGATTATACACAGCGTTAAGTATGCTGAGACTGTTGACTATCATTTCTTGGTAGAACTTATTGTGAACTTTTTCAAAAAGGCATTTTTCCCACTGGGGGAGGATTTTTCTCTTGAGGAGGACTTCATAGGTTTCTTTGATACCTAAGTCAAAGGGCACAGGGCAGAAGAAATATGGAACACAGATTAAAAATTCAATGTACAAATATTATATATATACATGTCCTGTCTTTGGCACCTGGTCATCCTGCCCACCCCAGTGTCAGATGGACTGAAGCCCTCCTCTTGGCTCCTAGGGCAAAGCGTGGAGGCCTCCTTCACAGTCACTGATGCTCCAAAAGCAAAGTTTCAGAGACAGGCGCTACTCTTCATGCGGTGCATGGGCTTCTAGCTGTGGTGTCTTCTCTTCTTGCTGAGCACAGGCTCGGCTCTAGGTGCACGGGCTTCAGCAGCTGCAGCGCGCGGGCTCGGTAGGTGTGGCTCATGGGCCCTAGAGAGCACAGGCTTCAATAGTTGAAGCTCATGGGCTTAGTTGCTCCGCAGCATGTGGAATCTTCCCCAGATCAGGGATAGAACCTGTGTCCCCTGCTCTGGCAAGTGGATTCTTACCCACTGTCCCACCAGGCAAGTCCTATAATAGTATTTTAAAGGCTGCATCTTTCAATTCAAACATCTGGGTCATCTATGGTTCTGGCAGTGGCCATTCTTTTCTCTTGATTATGGTCAGAGTTCCTGCATGTCCTATATACTGTGTTGTTGTTTACATCTTAAGCTGCATGGTGTATATTAGAGAACAGAAGAGAAGAAAGAATACCATCTTGTCCCCTACTTCCCACAGGACTTTGAGACTCAATACAAAAGCAGGTCTCTTCATTTTCTAGTCCATCCCAATTCGTTTGGGGTGATTTTATATCAGCTCCTTCTCCCTCCCAGTTCCCCACATTTTGAACTAGACTGGACACACACATATGTAAACCCACAGCTCTTCAGCCAGGAGCCAACGACAACTTCCCCAAAGTTAAGCACAGGTGGGGAGAAACAGGAGCTTTATGCACACATGCCCCATGAAGCCAGCAGTGGTTTCCCTATAAATCCTTCAAGGGCCTCAAGAATTCCCCACACGTCCACCGAAGGAGACCTCTTAGGACCCCAAAGAGCCTCCTGTGCATTCAGATGTTGTTGTTGTTTAGTTGCTCAATTGTGTCTCTTTTGTGACCCCATGGACTGTAGCCCACCAGGTTCCTCTGTCCATGGGGTTTCCCAGGCAAAATACTGGAGTGGGTTGCCATTTCCTTCTTCATGGGATCTTCCTGACCCAGAGATCAAACCTGGGTCTCCAGCATTGTAGGCGGAAATCTTTACCGCTGAGCCACCAGGGAATCCCGTGTAGATACTGCATCATGAAAACCAAAACCAAGCATTTCCCAGGGGGTTCAGCGCAGAGTGAAATTTCTTCAGGGAACTGGGCAAATCTACCAGAGTTGCATTTTAGACCTGTGGGATCAAGGTAGGTAGCCTTGAAGCGTGACATCTGGATGTTGACTGAGTGACCTGGCTTTCAGACACTGCAATTTGACCACACATGACATGTGTTATAGTTCTTGCTATTCAAAAACCTAAATGGTTGATCTGAAATTGATTTAGGGCACAGTACTTCCTCTTGACCAGACGGACTGACATGCCATCCTCCTTTACACGTCAGTTCTTTGCTTCTTGTAGCTAAATCACCCAATTACCCAGCAGGAGAGGGTTTGCCTGAAAGAAACGTCCAGTGTCAGCACTAGTACCTTGCTGCCTAGTCTCTTCACTCTGTCAGAGTGGGCAGAGTGGCACCAGTAAGCCTAAAGAATGTTGCTGCCACTGCGCCCAGGTCGCCCCCAACACCACCACCATCCCCAGCTCCTCTTGTCCATATACCACATCTGGACCAGTTCACAGACCAGAGGCAAAGCAGGGCCAGGGAAGTTCATAACCCTGAGCCGGAGGGACTGTTTCAGCTTTGCAGGGATGAAGACGATGATAGCTCTCATTTCTCAAACCGTGCTATCTACGCCAGGCCATTTGAACATGGGCATCATCTCACTGGGGGGCCAAAGGAACCCTAGGAAGCAGGTACTGCTGTCAACCCATTGCAGACAAGGCCTTCCTGTTGTAGCAAAGCAGCATGGACAGGCCTTATCCCTCTTTAGTCATTTAAGGGAAACACAGAAGAAAAATTTACAAACATATGTATAAATGTGTATATACATATGTATATCTATGTATATACACATATGTAAATATGCACAATATATAAAATAACATGCTGACTTTTTTGAACTTGGAGGATTACAACGTTCATTGACTATGGATTTAGTTGTGTTTATTTATAATGAGGGTTCTAATTTTCTTGGATATGCACTTATTTAATAGCTGAGGCTTAATCTTTCTGACTTTACATATGGAATTTTCCTTGAGTACTCAATCTAATAGCCTGAATGTCTTAAAGCAGCAATCAAAAGAAACTTGTACAAATAAAACAAAATGTTAATTGTATAATCTAAGAGCATAAGAGTGTTCACTACAGACTTCTTTCCATTTTTCTGTATATTTGAAGTTCTTTACAATAAGTTGTCAGGGGTAGGGGGAAGTCATCTGCATGATACTAACAAACCTTGATTGCCCATGGAACATTCACAAGGTCGCTAGTGGGAAAATGTGTATCCATGTTTGAAAGTTTACCACTGATAAGTATAAAAAAAAAAAAAACTTAAGGAAGTTTTATTTTCACTGAGAAAAATTTAGAAAATGGACAAAAAAAGAATCTCTCAGAAGTTCACTTACACAGGTACAGAAACTTTCAGTATATTATTATAGTTCTTTCCAGTCCTTTTTGTGTATATTCTATTTGTACTATTTGGTTACACACATTAATATTTTGCACACTTTAAAAAAAACAGAATGTCATTTGATTAATGGCTGCATGGTATTCCATTATATAAGTTATATAAAACATACCATACTATAGTTTCCAAAATTGCCTGGGAAAATTCTTTGGGACCCACCAACTAAATAAGAATCTCCAGGATGGCAAGGAATATGAATTTTTGAAGCTTACCCTGTGATTATAATGCATTTAATTAACCTACCTAATTAATTATCACATACTTCATTTGTTTAATCCTTTATTTTCAAACATCAAATAGTTTTCAAATTTCTGCTAAATGACAATCACAATAACATACCTATAAGGACAGGCACCTCTCTGGATATATATACATTTATTTCCTGCAGACAATTAAGTAGTTTGTTTGCTTTTTAAAAAGAATTTAGTAATCAGGAACTATGGAATAACTGCAGTTCTGGGAGTGCTCACCCCAACACAATCAGAGAATTCTACAGAAGACTCATCCAGGGTCAGTTGGGAGTTAAGACTCTTAACAACCCTAGAAAAACTCTTAAAAGACTGAGATCTGCCTTTTCCTTTATCTCTATAATCACAACCCTGCTCAAAAGGGCCTCTCTTGAGTATAGCACTGAAATTGGCTGTCTTCTACTGTTGTGTGCTATTTTAAAATACAGATATGTTAGTTCACTTTGTGTGGATCACAACAAACAGTAGAAAATTCTTAAAGAGATGGGAATAACAGACCACCATATTTGTCTCCTGAGACACCTGTATGCAGATCAACAAGCAACAGTTAGAACTGGACATGGAACAATGGCCTGGTTCCAAGTTGGGAAAGGGGTATGTTAAGGCTGCATACCGTCACCCTGCTTATTTAACTTACAGGCAGAATATATCATGTGAAATGCTGGGCTGGATGAATCACAAGCTGGAATCAAGGTTGCTGAGAGAAGTATCAACAGATGATACCACTATGATGGCAGAAAGTGAAAAGAAACTAAAGAGCCTCTTGATGAGGGTGAAAGAGGAAAGTAAAAAGCTGGCTTAAAACTCAACATTCAAAAAACCAAGATCACAGTATTCTGTCCTATCACTTCACGGCAAATAGATGGGGAACAAGTGAAAGCAGTGACAGATTTAATTTTCTTGGGCTCCAAAACCACTGCAGACAGTGACTGCAACTATGAAATTAAAAGACGCTTGCTCCTTGGAAGGAAAGTTATGACAAACCCAGACAGTGTATTCAAAAGCAGAGACACCACTTTGTCAACAAAGGTCTGTAGAGTCAAAGCTATGGTTTTTCCAGTAGTCATGTATGGATGTGAGAGTTGGATCATAAAGAAGGCTGAGCACTGAAGAATTAATGCTTTCAAACTGTGGTGCTGGAGAAGACTCTTGAAAGTCCCTTGGACTGCAAGAAGATCAAACCTGTCAATCTAAAGAAAATCAACCCTGGATATTCATTGTGAAGAACTGATGCTAAAGCTGAAGCTCCAATACTTTGGCCACCTGATGGGAAAAGCCGACTCACTGGAAAAGACACTGATGCTGGGAAAGACTGAAGGCAAAAGGATAAGGTGGTGGCAGAGGATAAAATGGTTAGATAGCATCACCAACTCAGCGCACTTGAGTTGACCAAACTCCAAGAGATAGTTAAGGACAGAGGATCCTGATGTGCTGCAGTCCATGAGTTGCAAAGAATCAGACATGACTTAGCAACTGAACAACAAGGAATGGTAGTTTACATAACTAACCCAAAGAGCAGTTTCTTAAACTTAGTCCCAGAGATTTCTAAGTATTTTCAGGGGTCTGAAAGTGCAATACAGTTTGTATTCAACGCTGTTTCCATTTTGATGGTAATATACATACAAGGTAAATACTAGACAATTCACTCAATTTCAGGGCCTGCAGTCTTATATTTAATATCAAAATGATACAAGGTCACCAAAGAAACTTTAGCCAATGTTTCTAAAACTAGGATGTGTGGACATACTCCCAGTGTTCCTTGAGAAAAGTTTTCCCTTTAAAGGGAGTTTATACCGTACTGAAAGTTGAGAACCACCTGCTTAGAAGACAAGAGTCATACTGCTTTTCTTCCTGGGCAGCACCCAGCCCAGGCTCAGCACGGGGCAGAAGTTCAGACTGCACGATTCTGTGCACCATTGGGTCAGTTGTAAGAGATCTCCACCAGGCCTTCCAGCCACATTTCTTGAACCCATCCCCAGGGCAATAAGAATCCATTCCTTGTCTTTTACCTTATTGACAGAACCTAATATTCCAGAGACCATCAAGCCCAACCCCACTCACAGTACAAGGGAAAAGTGAGGCCCCGAGACGGAAAGTGCCTTAAGCGAGATCACACAGCTAGCTAGCAGCAGAGACAAAACAAGAACCTCCTGCCCCAACTTCCGTGCCTCCGCTGACCCCGTAGCGAGCAGGGATCGCACAGACCTCATTTCCTCCACCACCGCCACCATCCCCAAACCCATTTCCACCCTCCTCGCGTCCCCAACCTCCCTCCGTTCTCTCCAAGTCGACTCATCTCCCTCTATTCCAGGACCTCACAAACATTCCACACTCCCCAACCCCAACCCTACTGCTTCTGGCAGTCCCTCGCCTACAAAACACACAAACGCAGAGAGCGCCATCAAACAGGGACTCTGTCAGCCCGCAGCACTCCGCGCGCCGGGGTCAGCCCCGAGGCGCAGGCGTCATCCGAAGTCGGCGCGCGTCGGTGACGTCACGGGCGCGCCACCCCCTGAGCCAGGAGACCTAGACTCCAGCTCCGAGAAGCAGGTCGTCGGTCTGTCAGCCTGCTTACCGCGCGACTTCGGGCACAAGGAACGTCTGCGCCACAAACTTGGACGAGAGAGACTGTAGTGGTTGAGGGCTGCTGAAGAAAGTAGAGGCGGATAAAGAGTGAGCGACGCCTGAAGAGACGTCAGCGGAGCGCACCAGAAGCGGTCCGAGAATGACGAGTAAGCGGGTTGAGGGCCACGAAATTGGAGAGGGGTGGGGTGTTAGAGAGCCGGAGACTAGGTCTAGGTATTGGTGGGTGACAGAGTTGCAGGGGAGTCTGGACGGAACTGCCGTGGGAATTGTCCCGCCTTCTAGAAATGTAACTGTGGCCAGGAGTCCCGATTGGCCTGGCGCAGTCTCTGAACTAGAAACTGATGTCGGGTTCTCTGGGCAGAAGGGGGGGGGGGGGGGGGGGGGGGGGGGGGCTGCCCTGATCCCTGGTGAGTGGTGCTAGAGGAGGGCCCAAGGCCTTGGTCTGACTTGGCTGCTATATCCCGTGGTGGCGTGGTCAAGGCCCTTTTCCTCTCTTCAACCCGCTTTCCCCTTTTGTAACGGTTGGATTGCATCACCGACTCAATGGACATGAGTTTGAGCAAACTCTGGGAGTTGGTGATGGACAGGGAAGCCTGGCCTACTGCAGTCTCTGGGGTCGCAAAGAGTCGGGTAGGACTGAGCGACTGAACTGAACTGAAGGTACTGATAATGGTGCCTGCCCAGCCAGCTGTTCTGTGAACGATCCTTTTCTGGTGTAAAGCGCAGAGAGCGCGCTGGGGAACAATACCACTAACCCAAGGCTTTGAGAGTTTGAGCAGAGAGGAGAGCAAGCACCCTAGGCAATTTATATAGGCAGGGGAGTGACACCCTTAAAACTGGATTTTAAGTTCCACTTCTGCCTCTCGATCTGTGTGATCGAGTTAAGTGTCTCAGCATATTTGAACTTCCAGTTTTCTCAGTGCATAATAGGAATGTGTGGGTGCGTGGGTAGTCATGTCCGACTCTTTGCAACCCCGACTGTAGCCCACCAGGTTCCTCTGTCCATGGGATTTTCCAAGCAAGAATACTGGAGTGAGTTGCCTCCTCCAAGGGATCTTCCCAACCCAGGGATTGAACCCATTTCTTTTGTGTCTCCTGCATTGGCAGGCGAATTCTTTACCACTGGCGCCACCTGGGAATATATAATAGGAATAATAATACCTTTAAAATGGTCATTCAGAAAGTATGAGATAAAGTGTACGTAGCTTTTAATTGGGCATGGTAAGTATTGAGGGCTCAATAACTGTTAGATGTCTGTTATAGGAGGAAAAAAAAAAAGGCTTCTGGGTTTAATGCTAGGCACCTGTTTCAGTTGCAGGCATCCCTGGTGGTCCATATCCTGCAAGTTGCTTTCTACAAACAGATTTCAATCCCTGTCTTCCAGTTAAGGGAGAATCATACTCTGTATACGAAGCTTGTAACCACCTTGGTTTGTTTGTTCAAATGTATTCAAGGAAGCACAACAGAGCTGGGATGGAATTTAGAGTGTAGTATGAACCATATTTTCTAGTCCTTTGGCCCTTAAACCAGGCCTTTGTCTCATTCTATTGACACCCATATTCTGTCCCCAATGCTGTGGTTTTCTTCTTCAGAAGAAATTAAGAAACAAGAGTGTGAAAAGTTTTGAAGGTTGAAACCATGTTGAGCAGTGTGTATTTTGAGCTTGAAGAAGGCTCTATGGTATTTTATCAATTTAGGATACCATTGGTTGTATGATGCATCTCAGCTTCATTGATGGTGAATGTAAAAAATCTTTTTTTAAACATCAAACAGTAAACAAAATGTAATAGTTTCAACTCTCCTCATCCTGAAAAGCCCTGTCACATAACTTTTAAATGAGATACATTATTAGAGTTCTAGAGCAACAGATTCATGTTTGAGAAGCACTGTTTTGACTGTAGCCCACCAGGTTCCTCTGTCCATGGGATTTTCCAAGCAAGAATACTGGAGTGAGTTGCCTCCTCCAAGGGATCTTCCCAACCCAGGGATTGAACCCATTTCTTTTGTGTCTCCTGCATTGGCAGGCGAATTCTTTACCACTGGCGCCACCTGGGAATATATAATAGGAATAATAATACCTTTAAAATGGTCATTCAGAAAGTATGAGATAAAGTGTACGTAGCTTTTAATTGGGCATGGTAAGTATTGAGGGCTCAATAACTGTTAGATGTCTGTTATAGGAGGGGAAAAAAAAGGCTTCTGGGTTTAATGCTAGGCACCTGTTTCAGTTGCAGGCATCCCTGGTGTTCCATACCCTGCAAGTTGCTTTCTACAAACAGATTTCAATCCCTGTCTTCCAGTTGAGGGAGAATCATACTCTGTATATGAAGCTTGTAACCACCTTGGTTTGTTTGTTCAAATGTATTCAAGGAAGCACAACAGAGCTGGGATGGAATTTAGAGTGTAGTATGAACCATATTTTCTAGTCCTTTGGCCCTTAAACCAGGCCTTTGTCTCATTCTATTGACACCCATATTCTGTCCCCAATGCTGTGGTTTTCTTCTTCAGAAGAAATTAAGAAACAAGAGTGTGAAAAGTTTTGAAGGTTGAAACCATGTTGAGCAGTGTGTATTTTGAGCTTGAAGAAGGCTCTATGGTATTTTATCAATTTAGGATACCATTGGTTGTATGATGCATCTCAGCTTCATTGATGGTGAATGTAAAAAATCTTTTTTTAAACATCAAACAGTAAACAAAATGTAATAGTTTCAACTCTCCTCATCCTGAAAAGCCCTGTCACATAACTTTTAAATGAGATACATTATTAGAGTTCTAGAGCAACAGATTCATGTTTGAGAAGCACTGTTTTAAAGCACACCGCTGGGACTGCTTGGATGGATGTGGCCGGAGGGTAGGACCGTAGACATCCGAGAAAGCTTTGGTGCTATGCTCTCCGTACCACATGTCTTCTGTCCCTCAATAAGCAAAGTGCTTTTCCTAGTTAGAAGAGTCTTAGGTTTTCTAGCCATAGCCAACAGGATTGATCTTTCCGTGTTTGTGTTTTGTTTTGGTTTTAATCCCCTAGGTGCAGTCTACCATGCCTTCTCTCAGAAGGAGGCAAAAGAGTTCGACGTTCAGGTACAGTGCTTGGGCAGGGGGTCTGGGAGCACCAGAGGTGATGACCAAGATGGCTCAGTGGCTTCTTAAGTGCTTTAGTGGCTTCTTTAGTGCTGTTTTAGATGTCCTTTCCCACAGTTGACTTCTCATGTTTCCAGCAGACATATTAGGTTTAATCAAGGTCTGTTGTTCTGCTGGCCTCCTTTCCCAGAGTCAAGTTTGGTAAACTGGGACTTCTTGATCTGTGTCCCCTCACCATGTAGGGGACACCAGGCTGTGCTCACCTGAAACCTGTCATGGTGAGCACTGTCATTTGACCTTGTTACTCTGCCCCCTTCACTCCTGAAAAGGGAAGACAGATCATATTTCATAAGTGTAATTTATGGATCATATCTGGGTGCTCCAAACATAGTTTGGCAGAAGGTTCACTGGTGACGCATAATGAGGGAGTTACTTAGGAAATCAAGATTTTGAAAAGCTGATATACCTTTATTTGGCTTCTGCATGAAAGGTGGGCCACTTAGGTGTTTAAAGAATCAAATATCAAAAACAAAAAAAGAATCAAGTGTCCTCTTACAATAATAATAGTGATGATAGTGAATTTTTACTTAGCATTTAAAAGTACAGAGCTGAAGCTGACGGCCCTCCTTACTATGGGGAGCCTTGAAGATTGTATGTATCACATTTATCCCCATCTCCCACCTATCCCCAAGCCCATGACTGCTCCATGAAATGAGAGCTTGATTACTCTCGACACATGAACTCCAAGGTGTTTGCAGCCCAGTTAGTGCAACAGAAGTCCAGGAAATGGCCCTGCCAAGAGGGAGAACCTCAGTAGACAGTGCTCGCTAGGGGTGTGGCGAACGTGGGCAGAGGCATTGGAATGAGGAAGAGACTGGTGGAACTTCAACTTGAGGGACAGCAGTGCATGTTCTTTCAAGAATTACACGCAGTCCTGACAGTTACGTTGTCCAGAAGTCCTCTCTAAGCGCAGGTGCTGTCACAGTCACACGATGCTCTGCTCTGTGTGGGAAAAAGTGACCATGCAGGGCTAAGGTATGCTGACAGTGTCTTTCTTCATGCAGTGCCAGAACCAAGTAGGAGAGTAGTCATGCCACGTCCGCAAGGCTGAAGACTCAAAGAGTATTAATGATACGGCCAGTGTCAAAATTGCTGCAGCTGGGCCCAACCTGGAGTTCTTGATTATTCTGTTTTTCCCTAGTGTTAGGATCATTTCCTTCGAGGCCATCGCTTGCCTTCATTTGATCATGATTGATTAAATCCTGTTGTCTTATCATTTCTCAAGCTTTCCTCCCTTCCAAGGACGAGAGAAGTCTTTTCTTCCAAATACAGTGTTTTTGTCCGTTTGGTTTTTTGCTGTGGCTTTTTGTTTTTATTTTTTAACTGCAAAGAAGTAGAGTAGGAAGTTGGAGTCTGAGGTGATGGGTCTGTGCAGCAGTCACAAATTGACATTTAAATGTGGCTTTCACTTCTGGCCAGCTGGGCTGGCGGACACTCGGCCAACAAGAGGCTGTGTGGGCCTCGGTGGGTAGATAGGTGGGTCAGTGAAGGTGGCCCACCTGCTGTTGCGGTGGTGTGCGGGAGTGCCCGGGGGCCTGGGTGGTCCCAGCCAGAGCAGCATCGCACCATCTTGTCCCCAAGCAGCACATGGGAGCCCAGCGGGCCGAGGCCTTCGTGAGGGCCTTCCTGAGGCGGAGCATGCCCCGCATGAGCCAGCAAGCCCTGGAGGACCACCTGCAACGCAAGGCCGTGGTCCTGGAGTACTTCACTCACCGGAAGCAAAAGGAAAAGAGAAAGAAATCTAAAGGCCTTTCTGCCAAGCAGAGGAGGGAGCTGCGGCTCTTTGACATTAAGCCAGAGCAGCAGAGGTATGGCGAGCTTTTCCTGCCTTTCCATCCCAGCAGCGTGGTCTTCCTGGTACTGAGTACGGGTTTGGAAAGCTGGGGGATTCCCTGGTAAAATTGCTGCAGCTGGGCCCAACCTGGAGTTCTTGATTATTCTGTTTTTCCCTAGTGTTAGGATCATTTCCTTCGAGGCCATCGCTTGCCTTCATTTGATCATGATTGATTAAATCCTGTTGTCTTATCATTTCTCAAGCTTTCCTCCCTTCCAAGGATGAGAGAAGTCTTTTCTTCCAAATACAATGTTTTTGTCCGTTTGGTTTTTTGCTGTGGCTTTTTGTTTTTATTTTTTAACTGCAAAGAAGTAGAGTAGGAAGTTGGAGTCTGAGGTGATGGGTCTGTGCAGCAGTCACAAATTGACATTTAAATGTGGCTTTCACTTCTGGCCAGCTGGGCTGGCGGACACTCGGCCAACAAGAGGCTGTGTGGGCCTCGGTGGGTAGATAGGTGGGTCAGTGAAGGTGGCCCACCTGCTGTTGCGGTGGTGTGCGGGAGTGCCCGGGGGCCTGGGTGGTCCCAGCCAGAGCAGCATCGCACCATCTTGTCTCCAAGCAGCACATGGGAGCCCAGCGGGCCGAGGCCTTCGTGAGGGCCTTCCTGAGGCGGAGCATGCCCCGCATGAGCCAGCAAGCCCTGGAGGACCACCTGCAACGCAAGGCCGTGGTCCTGGAGTACTTCACTCACCGGAAGCAAAAGGAAAAGAGAAAGAAATCTAAAGGCCTTTCTGCCAAGCAGAGGAGGGAGCTGCGGCTCTTTGACATTAAGCCAGAGCAGCAGAGGTATGGCGAGCTTTTCCTGCCTTTCCATCCCAGCAGCGTGGTCTTCCTGGTACTGAGTACGGGTTTGGAAAGCTGGGGGATTCCCTGGTGGCTCAGATCGTAGAGTCTGCCTGCAACGTGGGAGACCCAGGTTCGATCCCTGGGTCAGGAAGATCCCCTGGGGAAGGAAATGGCAACCCACTCCAGTGTTCTTGCCTGGAAAATCCCATGGACGGAGGAGCCTGGTGGGCCACAGTCCGTAAGGTTGCAAAGAGTCTGGCACAGCTGAGCAACTTCACTTTGGGAAACGAGGCAGCCCCTGCTCCACTTAAGCTAAGAGAGCCTCTCCCATTTCTGCCACAAGGGGGCAGCCTTCCTTTACCAATTCAGACCTTTTTGCATTTGGCTTCTGTCCTATCCTTAACTAATAAGGCCAGTGCCAAAAGTGAGTCTGTCACCCATGGCAACAGGGCGACAGTTTTCTTAGAACAAAAGGAACTGATACTTCTTAACATATATCTCTTTGTAGCTTTTAATAGCACTAGACAGACTCACCCATTGGGGTTTTATTTGCCAAAGAACGTGCTGCCCCTGTGTTTCAGAAGTTTCTGAGAGAGACATCACTCTCTGTGGGGGGACATGTTCCTCCCTCCAGCTGACACCCCATCCCTCCTTGGCTACAGTTCTGTATTTGCATGTCTTAGGACTGTTCATATGCTTTGGCTCCAAGATCTGTAGCCAAATAGCCTCCCACATCCCCCAAGACAGAGACTGTCACTTTGTTCATGGCCCCTCACAAAACCAGCTGCGTTTTGGGAGGAGGAAGGGACTGCTGCCTGCCCCTGGTGTGCCTCGCCCGCGTCCCCACCAGTAGAGTCCACTCTGGGTTTCAGCCTGAGGTTCTCATTTTCTCTAAGCAGTAGCTTCATTAAGCAGATTCCTCATGAAGCACCAGGAAGGCCCGTTTGGGGTCCTCTCACCTGCTTCCTCCCCTGCACCCCACCACTTCTCACCCTCCAGACAGACCCTGTCACCTTGCACATGGGCTTACGACAACCAGCAAGTCCTGTTTACTGAGGGCTTACTGGGGTCAGCTTCCTATGACAGAAAACCTCAAAACAGCAGTGACTGAACAATAAGCCAGCAGCAGTGGCTTCTTTTCTCTGTGCAAAGTCCGGCTGAACACCCTCCTGCGCTGGTGCACAGGCAGCTCCGCAGCCACCAGACACCGCGGAGTGCAGACGTGGGTGCATCCCTGCTGCTGCACCGTCTTTGTCTGAGGCGTCTGCCTGAGCTCCAGCTGTCACGGCTGCGTCTGACCAGCAGGAAAGACGGAGGGGCAGAGGAAGGCAACATCTTTCTCTTCTCATTAGCAAAAACTTAGCCTTGAGAGTGTTCTACTGGAGAGGAAACTAAGATTTGAGAGGTGAAAGTACTGGATTTCAGTGCGGTTATAGGAAGTAGAACTAGGATTTGCACCCAGGCCCCAGTGATCCAGGTCATGGTCCTTGGCATCAAGCCACACTCTGTGCTCTTTGGATGTTACATTGTCATATATTGTATATGTCACATTGCCTGACTTTTTACCTCTCTCTGAATTTGCCACAGATACAGTCTTTTTCTCCCTCTACATGAACTCTGGAAACAGTACATCCGGGATCTATGCAACGGCCTCAAACCAGACACGTGAGTCGCAATTCTGAAGCCTTGCCCTTTGGGGAAGAACCCAAGGGACCCTGCTATCAGCATTGCCTGGCTGCAGAAGTCTGTAGACCTGTTTACTTCTTTCAGAATTTATCATCATGGTATACACTGAAGGCTTCTATTTACCTCTTAGGCAGCCACAGATGATTCAGGCCAAGCTTCTAAAGGCAGATCTTCACGGCGCTATTGTTTCAGGTAATTGGCTTAAAGAGCACATCATCTGGATGCCCAGGCCATCCTTCAGTGACAGTTCCTTTCACTGCTGATATCCCCACATCACCAGCACTTAGGTTAGGAGATGACTATAGATGTCTTAGTCAATTCTGACCACTTGTTGGATACTCTTAGATGATCTCTGTGTACCTTCTCCACACAAAGACCCCTGATAGTATCCCAGAGGACACCGCAGCTGCTGGCACTCACACACAGCCTGCTCACTTGAACAATCCTGTGGTTTTAAATGTCAGCTGTGGACCAACAGTCACCAAGTTGTCATCTCCAGCACAGACCTTACCCTTGAACTCTTTGAATTCAACTGTCTACTGTATATAGCCACCCAGATGTGCAGTGGACATTGTAAACTTTACACATCCAAAATAGAACTCTGGGCTTCTCCTCAGATCAGCCCTTCCCCTGGTCTTTGTCATCTCAGTTGCCACTGAGATCGTTGTCAGTGATACCACTTAGTACTCCTCTGAGGGCCACAAATACCAGTGCACTGTTCACACTGGTTGTTCAGGCCGAAAACCCAAGAAGTATTCACATTTCTTCTTTCCTCATCCCCACCTCCAAGGCATGAGCACACCCTAACATCCAAGTCTAAGCCGCTACCTCCTCCCCTGGATTATTGCAAAGCTGCCTAACCCTCTTCCTGCCAACACACTGCTCCTCCCCTGACCAGGCAGCCAGACGAAAGATTTTTTTTTTTAACTGAAAAAGTTGTGTCCCTTCTGCCTCTTCACTGTGGTCCAAACAGCCTGTCCATTCTCCTTGGGCAGCAGGTCTGACCACACTGGCCAGCTTTCTGCTTCTCACCAGGCCTGGCCCTGCCTCAGGGTCTTAGCATTTGCTTCTTCCCTCTGTCCAGAGAGTTCTTTGTGCTCACAGACTGATTCTTTCTCATTATTTGGGTCTCTATTCAGATGTCGCTTCCCAGGGGGTCTACCATTACTAAAGGTGACCCCTCTCCCCCTTTGCCCTGCCCTTGTTTTTCTCGTAGCACTCGTCACTATCAGAAGCTACAGTTGTCTGTGTGTATTACCCCTGCCCCGTTAGAACAGTAGCCCCCTGAGAGCAGCACCGGACTGCCCTTCTCACTACCGTGCCCAGCACCGCCCTAGCACAGTGCCAGACACACGGCAGGCGTCCAGTGACCATGTGCTCACTGCATGGGGGTGGGCCGGAGGGGGCGAGGGCCTGCTGCCGTGGGGGCAGCTCATTGCTGGGTGACCTCTAGTGGCCTCCCGTTCTGGCCAGAGCGTGGGAGGTTACAGGAGGACCATGGTGAACAGGTGTTCATTCAGGTCCTACAAGCGAGACTTGGCCTTGCCAGAGCAACCCAACTGTGTGTCTTGGTGGTATTAGATACACATGTGACCCCTTGGCTCCAGGATCCTGCCTAGGACCCCTGCGGCAGCAGGCCCGCTGAGGGACACCTTATCAGAGCAGCACAGGCCCTAACGCCCCCAGTGAGGGACTGGGAAGCCTGGGCTTGTCCATGCCCAGCTGAGTAGCCAGCACTTAGGATGGGAGTGCTGCCCCTCACCACGCCCTGCCTGCTGCTCTTTCTTCCTCCGCTGGCTCAAGGCTGGGAACAGAGCCCTCATCCCCCACAGGCCTGGCTGCCTGTGGCTCCATTAGTAGCACAAAGGCCTGAGCCCTGAACTGCCCTTTTCCTTTGCAGTTACAAAATCCAAGTGCCCCTCCTATGTGGGTGTTACAGGGATCCTTCTACAAGAAACAAAGCACGTTTTCAAAATTATCACTAAAGAAGACCGCCTGAAAGGTACGTGACTGGATGGCCGTGGCTGTGGCCGCCCCAGCCAACTCGCCGGCCCTTTCCTCAGGGCCCTAAAGGTAGTTTGGCCTTTCGAGCCAGCAGATCCCTGCCTCCCTTACATCTCAAGCCTGCAGAGACCATCCTGGCACCCAAGGCTCTCCCTGAGACACTCGTCAGCCCAGCTGCTGTGGCCAGATATGATCAAGGGAAGGAAGGGTTGCTTGACTGTGCCTCCAGACACCTGGGTCTGTTTCCAGGACTGGGACCCTCCACCTGCCCAAAGGCTGCTGCCTCCCAGGATTGTAGCCAGAGGGAGTAGGGAGGAAGCCACGGCAGCGCCTGCCCCTGGAGTTCCCAGAGCCCGCGCCCTGGGGTCCAGGGGAGCGCATCCCCGCTCATCTGCCCGTTGTGCTCACCGCTCTGGCAGAGGAGCACCTGGTCTGTCAGGATTCCCACACCCCCACCTTGCCCACAAATCCAGAGATTTCAAAACCACAGTGGGGGTTGTTCCTTTTATTTTTGACCCTTGGATTTCTTGCTGCTTGCTTCCATTTCCCTATATACTCTTCTGCTCTCATTTTAAATCTAAGAAAGTGGTGTACAAGTTTCCCCAGGAAGCATAAAGCCATGAGTCTGTCTGCAAGTTATGTGGCAAGACCTGTTTCTGGCACTTTTTCTGGGAGTTTCTGATTCTGGGAGTTTGGTTCATGGCCTTTCACCCTGAAAACTAGGTGTTGAGTTATATTTAAAATGTGAGTAAATTGACCTTCTGGTAGAATCATCACCTTCATCCTGGTATTGTTACCGTTGTGGGTTCCTCCATTCCCTAATGTGTTTCCTAGTAGCTTTGTTTATTTTCTAATACAAACATCTTGGGAATAATAGTTTCCGTAAAAGTGAACTTACTGCCAGAATTTTTTTCCTTATCCTTTTTCTCTTACTTTTTTTCAGTTATCCCCAAGCAAAACTGTGTGTTCACCGTGGAGATCGATGGCTTTATTTCCTACATTTATGGTAGCAAATTCCAGCTGCGGTCAAGTGAGCGGTCTGCAAAAAAGTTCAAAGCCAAGGGAACAATTGACCTGTGAGCTGTTACTGCCTAAGGGGATTATTTATGCCAGCCAAAGACTGGAAACATCCGCCTTTCAGGGAAGAGATGGTCAGGCCAGTTCTGGTTATAGACCACTTCCAGCCAGTTTAAATCAGCGTTAAGGACATTTAGTCTTCTGGGGAGAAGCACACTGTACTGAGCACAGAATTCAGGGACCAGAGGGATGTGTCGTTACAGATGCTCTCGTTTTCCTGTTACTCCCATGGAAAGAAAAGATTGGCAGGAAGCACCAGGATTAACACAAGTTGACCTAAACAGTTTGTTTGGTTTTTCCTTTTCATACTTTTCTGTTTTCAGAAAGCTGTTTGATAAGTCAGTAGCTTGTGTGATAAAGCATGCGTGTGGGCGTGAGTAGGCCACAGGAGTGACTCCTGCGGCACGGCCAGGACGGAGGGAGAGAGGCCGGAGGCCGTCCCCAGCTCATGCCTCTACTTTTGCACTCGGTGCCATGAGGCGCCGCGTCTCACTAGCTCAGTGGTGACCTGCATCTTCGATGGGTCACTTTAAATCATGCCTTCTGTCAAGCTCTTTGACCTAACCAAGGTTCGCTTTGCTGTTTCTAGAAAGCAGAAGAAAGTTCCAGTACAGGGAGCTTAAGCCTATGGAGTGTTCTCAATTCCTGAGTCTATTAGACTCCCCAGGAAGGTGGACTGAAGGGAAAATAAGACTACAGCCTTTCCCAAGGTCTAACCTGCTAGGAAAGCCTGAGTCCCCAACGGTGCCGCCTTAGTTGACTCTTAGTTCCATTTTTGCTGCCAAAAAGCATGGCTCTCCAGTCTGACCCTGGCCCTGTGGGCAGTGTGCCCGTGGGCCAGTAGGTGGGGCCCTTCTACGCAGGCCTGAGTACAAACTGGCCGAATGAGAACAGGGTGGGGACCAGCCTTCCAGGTGTGCTATTAAAAAAAGCCATGTGGCTTAGGAGACCCTATCACCCCTTTCCTTTGAGAAGCAGGTGTTTGCCAGTCAACAAGGTGAAGGCAGAAACATTCCTGATGACAAGTTGGTGGCAAATTCACATGCTTTTTTCTTCCACACCAAGAGAAGCAGCAATGCCAGAGCTTTGCTTTCTCAGCATTTCCCACTCAGGCTCCACACGGGACAAGAAACACGATGAGGGGAGCGTCAGCACTGATTTCACATCAACTGGAGAACAGTGAGGAGGCCTAGCTGTGCCTCCTGAAGGCTGAGCCCACCAAGAGTCTCCCACAGACATACAAGCCTGGCAGCTCAACCCCGCTTCCATCTGTGCGTGGTGTCCCCCACTTACCAGGAGGGTCTGAGTCCCCTGCGGTGTTCTCCGCAGCCCAGCCACCATTGCCTGTGGTTTGGAGCCCAAGTCCCAGCACCACCTCAGACGGCATCCTGACCCAGTGACAGCCGTTGGGTGTGGCCACAGGGACATTTAGAGTCAGAGCACTGGCTTGCCTGGGGTCTCACCACCTGAGAGAGCTCGAGCTGGGCTTTGAACCCTATAGTCTAGCTCCAGAGCCACGTTCTTTAGGATGGGAAGATACTTGGAGAGTGCATCCTTTATTACTTGGGTTCCCGCTTCCTGAGGGAATCTCTTGTCTTTCCCATAATACGGCTTCTGTTCTTCCGGCTGTCTGAAAGTGCCACATTGGTAACAGCATAGGTGCTATCACTTCCTAAATCCCACTGCTCTTACCCACCCCTCTGCAGTATAAAAGGCGGCCAATGTTGTGTAAATATACAGTTGCTTTCCAGAAAAGTTGTTGGAACCAATTGCCACGTGAAATCTGTTTTTCACTTGGCGCAGACTCAAGTTTCCATGTGAGTGGCTGTTTTGTTTGTAGACCTCTCCCCCTCCCCAAGGAGACTCGGTGAGAACGCTCACCTGCCGCGAAGCTGCTGCTGCTGAGCTGCCTGTTTCTGGGAGACCCTTCTGTCCCTAGGGGCCATTAGGCCCTGTGCCCCATGGACCGTGCCATCCTCAAAGGCCGGGGACGGGGTGAGGGGGCCCAGGCCAGGCTGGGCGCTGACTGTGAGTGAGCGATCCCGATGAACCTGTACTAAACGCTGCACAGGCAGGTGCGGGGCCCGCCGTCCCCATGGCTGCCGCCCAGGGCTTGTCTTGGACGACGGTGTAGTACTTTGCAGTCCAGTCCCTCCCGTCTCCACTGCCCAGGGAGCAGAGCTGCAGCAGACCTGGGGCCTTGGACAGGTAGGCTACCTGTGAGACACAGCGAAACCTGCCTTGTGTGTAAGCCTTCATGCAGAGAACCCTGTGCCCCAAGAGGCCTGTGAAGCAACAGAACAGTTAACACCACGGGACGAGACAGAAGACGGGGCTACAGTGACCCATTGTCCCCCTAAGAGCGAGTGGGCCCCAGGCCCTTTACATCCCCTAGGCCAGGTCTGAGCAGGACACAGCCACAGTGCGGGGCCTGCGGAGGACAGGCCAGTGCCTCTAGGGCAGGAAAAGGATGCAGCACCAGGAGGCTAAGAGGGACAGTGTGGGCCATGCCTTATTAGCCCAGCCTGCCATAACAGTGCTGCAGGGAGGCAGCTTAATCAACAGACATTTCTTTTCTCACTGTTCTGGAGGCTGGACGTCCAAGGTTAAGGTGCCGTCGGGGTTGCTGTCTGGTAAGAGCTTTCTCCTTGGCCACATCACTGTGTCCTCAGATGACCTGTGTGCACTCCGGGAGAGGCGAGGGGAGATCGCTGGTATCTCTTCCTCTATAGAGACACCATCTTATGGAATTAAAGCCCCACCTTCCTATGCTTGTTTAACTTTAATTACCTCCTTAAAGGCCCAGAGCTTCAACAGGCATCTGGAGGGAATCAGTCCATAACAGCCATGGAGGTGTCCCAGCTGGGACAGACTAGTATCCTGTATCCTGACCCACATCCTCAGATACTGGCCTGGCCCGGCCTTCCCACACCCCTCCATGGGATGCTCGGACCATTAGCCAGTTCATCCAACCCAGCCACTGGACCCTGAGCTCCCATCACCACAGGATTCCAGCATTTGCTCGTGGGACTTCGGTTCAGCTGCTCCCTCCAATACCAGGAGCTCAGAGGGTTCCAGCTTCTCTTACATTTCTGCAAACAGCTCCTCTTCCCAAGCCCTCTTGGGGCCAGGCAGAGTCTGGTTGGGAAAGGAAAGGAACACACAGGTGGGCAGGGTGGGCAAGGGAGGCACCCTAGAGGTGGCTTTGGATCCAGGCATTTGTGGGATGTTAAGAGCGTGGTCACACAGGCTATGCAGGGCCAACATGGAGGACCCAGGAAATCGCCTGCCCAGAGGGCCTGGGGCCAGCAGAGGAGAGAGAAGAAAGGCTGTGGGGCTGTGGCTACCAAGCTCAGGAGATGCCCAGCAGGAGAGGAGAGATGGTGAGAGCTGCTAGAAAAGTCCTACTGCATCGGGGCAGGCTGTGGAATTGTGCTGATCCAGTCACCCAGTTCTGAAGTCTTCCAAGGCCTCAGTGTCACCATCTGTCAAGTGTGGCCTTGAGACTAGATCAGGGCTTCCTGAAGTGGGATTCTGGCACTACCTGTGCGAGAATCTGCAGGATATGTGTTAAAAGCAGCCAGATCCTGGGCTGCGATCAGACTCCACGGGTGGAGCCCAGACAGCTTTCTGTTTCTCTAAGACCCCAGCTGGTTCCTCCAATCATTGATGTTTGAGGATGCTGGACTCCAGATGGTATCCGAAGTCTTTTCCAGCTCTGACATCTGGACTGTGATTTAAGATTTGGGCCTCTCGGGATGGTGCTTTCTGAATGCTGGAAAAGATTGTGAAATGACTGATCTCTCAGGTTCTGAAGAGTAAACATGAGCATTCCCCCCAAAAGCCATAAATTATGGTGAAAAGCTTTCTTTCTGGACAATGGCTTTAGTTCTAATTTAGTTTGCATTTCTTAACTATAATGTCTAATTAAGACATCTGTTAAATGTCTATAATATTAATTTAATAGAGGGGGTTCTAATAGAACTGTATTGGAATTGTCCATTTAATTAACCTCATGGGCCTTTAATGGATGTCTTAAATAGACATCATTAACAAGAGTGCTAGACAAATTAAAATTAGAGTCAATAACATTCTTGGTAATTTTTCCTGAGCTGTGAAGGACAAGCACTGCTAAGTAGACAGACACAGAAGTGGAGTGTTGGTGCTGGCATCCCCAGCAGGGTCCACAATGGACAAGGCCCCAGGCACGGCTCAACCATTCTGTGTCCTGGTCAGCTCTGCCCAAAGAGGGTCCAGCCATCGGAGGCAGTTCTCAGGAGCACAGTCCTGCTCTGCCCGCTTCATATACCTTTCACAGAAAACATTTGCTGACTGGGTCCTTCAGACAGCTCCTGAACGCTGGGAAGGAAATGGAGGAAGGAGGGACTCACCCAGAGATTCTCACTAGATACCATAGCTGTGTGGATCGGGAGAGGTGGCACCCTCTAGCACAGGGCAGGATTGGCTGGAATGGGTGGGCGGAATAGGATGAAATGGGATGAGAGGAAAACATTCTATTACTTTTGGCCGCTCCGTGCCACTGAACAGCTCTCACTTAAATGAACTATAGCTTTCCAAAATCAGTAGTCAGTTCTCTCTTACTTCATCTCTCATCAGCTTTTGTCATGACTAACCATTCCCTGCCTCTTGAAACACTTCTGTAGCCCCACACTCCCTGACTTTCCTCCTGCCTCCCTGGCCACGCCTTCTCAAGTGTTCTTTCATGGATTCTCGTCCTGTTCCAAACTTCCAAATGTTGGTTAAGCCCTGAACTCCAGCTTTGGACTCTTCTGCATTTGCTCTGTAGCTGGTCTCATCCACAACTTCAAATACACTTGACTCTCAAAATCATATTTGCAGCCTAGCTTCTTCCTAACCCCAGACCCAAATCTGTAACTGTATTGTCTGCCTCCCCGCCCCGTTCCAGTGTGAACTTCTGAAGGACATCTTTGTACTGATCTCTGCTGTCTCCCCAGTGATGTAGAAACAGTGAACCCTAACAGGTGCTCCATGAGGGAATGAACACAAGTGCCCATTGAAAGCTCCAATGCCCCCCACCCCAGCCTGATATGGCAGGACACAGAGCTACTGACTTTCTTCTGCTCCCACCTCAGCGAATGGCCTGGCTGTCCCATGACTTAAGCCAGAAACCCAGGCATCATCCTCTCTTGCATTCATGCCCCCCAACCAATCTCCCATAAAGTGCTTGGTAGCCCTCCTTCCAGCCTCTTTGCCATCTCCCTACTCCCACCTGCTCTCATCTCAACCAACAGCCACAGCCCCTCCCTACCCCCCACCCCCGCCTCCACATGGGGCCCCACCACAGGCGACCTGACCTTTGTGAAGCATGACTCAGATCTTACCACCCTTCTGC